TGTGCCTCGGGGCCTTTGCACAGGCAGGGTCCCTATCTGGGGTGTCTTCCCTGCATCCCCAGGAACTCTGCTCATTCCGCAGTAACTGCCCAACCTGGCAGGGCTCCTCTTCCACACTGTTGCCTGTGCTGTGGCACTTAGCAGCGTCACGGCACCACCAGCCCACCTTGTTCATATTTGTGTCCCCCAAAGCAGCACAGAGCCCAGCACCAGGAAGGGCTGAATATTTGTTGAATGAATGGACTTGGCCTTTCCCTTCCTTGCCCACCAATCTCCACATGTCACATAAGGACTGGCGGCCGGGGGTAGGGAGTGGCTGGCCAGGGAGAGCACCGGAACTAGAATCCTCCCGTGCACTGGTCAGTTTGCACCTCCTTCAGTCCCACGTCCAGTTCCGGGACATCTGCACTGCTGAGAGCACAGAGGTGAACACAGAGGCAGCCGGGCTCCCCAGAAGCTCACAGCGGAGGGACACACGTGGAGGAGTAAGGCTAGAGCTCAGGCCCCAGAAGACAGACAGACCTGGAGCCCAAAGGTCTTTTCTCATTCACAGCAAGTCTAGGCTTGTGTGGCCACTGGACTCCACCAAACCAGCGCCCAGGGCCCTGCTCTCCTKCCCTCACCACACACAGGAGTCCCAGGCAGAGCAGGAGGGCTGGCTGTCACGCCAGACACCAGAAAGCCTGGGAAAGGAATACGGGGAGTGTGGAGTGCGCGTGGGAGGCTCTGGCAGGTCCCTAGTCCAGGCCACACTGCGCGTGGGAGGGGTGGGGGTTGGGCATGGGGAGGGGTGGGCTAGGCAGGGGTGGGGAATCAGGAGGCAGAACCGGGTCTGAAAGAAACTCTGGAGTGTAGCCCACCAGTCCTGGTGGTGGAGGAGGTGAGGTGGGGACAGAGGGAACATCCAGCCTGTGCCACAGCAGGATGCCAGCGGAGGTGGGGGAGGAGTTTCCCCATCCCCCAGGAGGCAGCTGGAGACACGGGGGAGGGGGATGTGAGCTGTAGGTTTGCAGGGGAGGCCTGTGGGCAGAGAGGGAAGGGAGGCCAAGAAGGGAGTCCTCCCAGGGCCAGCGGTGGGAGCAGTGATTCTCTCCTGAAGGCACCTCCAATCCCCACCCCWGCGAGCTCTCCTGAGCAGCATGGAAACTCCTCCCCTACCACAAAGTTTGGAGTCTGTAAGATGGGGCAGGACCTCCACAGCGACTCCAGACTCTTAGGTTTGCAAAAAAAGAAACCAAATTCAAACTGGCTTGGGCAAACCCACTCACAGGACGGAGAGCTCAGGCCTCAGCAGGCCTCTGCCTGGGACTCCACGGCATGATATCTCCAGGACTCATCTCCCATGGTCTCCCGGTTGGCTGGATCTCAGGCTTGGTCTTATTTTCCCCCAGGGACAGATGTTCCCTGCAGCCACAGCTGCTGCCATTTTAGAACCCCCCCCCAGGGCTCCCCAGTCATTCCAGCCCCCTTCTCATGGCCTGAAATAAGCCGTGGGCCCATCCCTGGCCCAGTCCCTGGAGCCGGGGGAGATGGGAAAAGCTGATTGATTAGTTTTTATACTCCACAGGGTCAAGTGTGGGGTTAAACCCACCACAGTCAYGTGGACTGAAAGGTAGAGGGTTCCCCAAAGGAAACTGAGTCACAGTTTCTAGGAGAGTGGGAAATAGGCTCAAGCTGGATCTAACAACAGACGTCTGCTTTCCTGTGACCTCCAGCGGGATTTGGGAGCCAGGGGAAGAACAGCCCCGCTGAAGGACTGTGCCAGTCCCCGGGAGGCTTAAGGGCCCCTTTTGACTTAGTGAGGGCGAGAGGAGTGTTTGGGGAAGACTGGAAAGCAGGCTGTAGAGACAGCAGGAGACRGGCTGGGAAGGTTGGGAGAAGGTCCTGACCACAGGGAGAGGAATGGGGTTCTCTTGATAAAACTGTCCTTGCAGCAAAGGGCAGAATTTCATTCATTCATTTATTTATTTTTGGTACTGGGGATTGAACCCAGGGGCCCTTAGCCACTGAGCYACATTCTCGGCCTCTGTCTTATATTTTCATTTAGAGACAGGTCTCCCTGAGTTGCTTAGGGCTTCGCTAAGTTATTGAGGCCAAGTGCAGAGAAGGGGAGAGTGAAGAGTGGCCTCCCTGGCAGAAGGTCCAGCAGGAGCGAATGTATAGAGGCAGAAAAGCAGAAGATTCTTGAAGAAAAGGACATGCTGTATGCATGCGGTAGGCTTGCCCTTAGTTTTCCGTCAGGGAACCCAGATGTCCGTTTTTGTCTGAGTATAACCAAGACCACAGATCACAAATTCCTTGGCTTAGCACTAAAGGTCCTCGCTTCTTGCTACAAACAAGAAGTTCTCTTTCCTAGGGACTCTGCCAAGGCCATTCTTCTTGGAGACCCCTGAAGCTCCTCCGGATAGCCTTCATACCACCTGGTAAATTTTCCACTCAGGGCTGTTTCACCTCTGAGTCCCCAGATCCTGGTTCCCACTTCTGAAGAAAARGGGGTTCAAGATAATGCTGTGACATTTATTTAGGGTGTGCAATGCTAAGGCTGAAGTGAMAATCTCCAGGTTAAGAATTTCAGACAGTGTTGGAAGAAGGGGAGGGACATCTGGGGATAGGGCCCCTCAATCCAGATGACGGCTCACTTTCTGCACACTGCTAGCTCCGGTTGTGGGAACACAGAGGCTAACTGTGACCCATTTGCTTTCTCCCAGGATCCATCTTTGTTTCCCATGTCACAACCAGTTTCTTAGAAGTAGCGGAGTCTTAGCTGGCCCTAGCAGCTGTGATTTCCAAAGCAGATATCATTTATCGAGGGCCTACTATGTGTCAAGCATCATGTTAAGTGCTTTATATGTATTTCTTCATTAAGTCCTCCCAAACAGGTAGGTATTTTTAATATGTGTCTATTTTATAAATGATGAAACTGAGGCTCAGAGGCAGTAACTCAAGTATTGACAGAAGTGGGATTTACAYCTGGATGTCCTAACACAGGGGTCCCTGGGAAGCCCTAAGGTTGGACATGTTTCCAGTGCTGAAGTCAGGTCAGGCTAGCACAGCTCTCTCCTCCTGCAGTTCCTAACCCCCAAAATGCTGCAGCCCCAAACTTTTTAGGTTTCACTGCCTTCACATTTCTGGGGGCCCCAAAAGTCTGAATGGGAATAGATCAGCTTGCAGAACAAGGAAGAAATGAAACTGACTCCCCAGATTAATTTCGTCTTTCAGTTTGGCTGGGAAGGAGGGTGGAAGAATTTGGGAAGACCCAAATCCCTAAATTTCCAGGCCTCTACCTCCCGGCAGAGAAACTCTCCAGCTCCCCCTAGTGGTCTTCAATACCACTGTGTTCTCAAGGACTGGTCCTCAGGGTACCCTGACTGGTACATTCTAATGCAGAGTTGGGGAAATAGAGGTGTCTTCCTTTGGGAGGAACCTCAAGGAAATCCTCGATACTGGAACCCAGAACTCCTGGCCACCAGCCCTTTCTGCACATCCCTTTCCATCCCTGTAGCCCTCCATGTTATTTGATTGACTCAGCAATTGTTCTAACATTTACCATAAATGATGGAAGTACTATATTACAAGTTCAGTACATCCCAGCATATTTGATGTGCTGTGACACTGTATTGTGTATTAGTCTTCCTCCAGTCAATATGTAAAGCGAGAAGTTTGTAATGGCCAATTCTGTTGTCATGAAAAGAAATTCCAATACCTCTGTCACCTCTACCTCTATTGCACATTTCAAAGGCCAGCTTCTCTCTTCAGCCTGCTGTTCCCGAGTGGCCAGCTTCCTCCAAAAACTCAATCCCACCATGTCATCTGAAAGAATGTCAAGAGACACAAGGAGATTAAATCCCTTGGGACACAAATGTTACTTCAAGTAGGGAAGGTGACCAAGATGAGAGCAAACTATGAAATGCAAAATGCCCTTCAGACCACCAGTTCTCTCGTGGCATACCAACAGGAAATGACAGCAGCCTGGTGCAATGGCACATGCCTGCAATCCCAGCAGCTCGAGAAGCTGAGGCAGGAGGATCACAAGTTCAAAGACAGCCTTGGCAACATAGCAAGGCCCTAAGCAACTCAACAAGACTCTGTCTCTAAATAAAATATTTAAATAGACCTGGAATGTGGCTCAGTAGTTAAGCACCCTTGGGTTCAACCCATGGTTAAAAAAAGAAAGGAAATGTGAAATGATAATAGGAGGGGCAGGAGTGCCCTAAGGTGGGAATCCTGCAGGGCTGGAGGATGCGCAGGTATAGGAATTGCTCACCTTGATGACTTGGGATGGTGGGTTGGTCTGATCTGGTAGCAAAGGGCTGGTTGGAATGGGCAAGAAGGGAAGAAATCAGGAACCTCACCAAGCAGGGGTGACCTGCCTCTTCGATATCCTGGAATTAAAATAAGGGGCAGGAGCACTAACAAGGTCTTGATCCTGAAAAAAAGAAAGGGGCACCTCTTCTATTGCCCCCCAGATGCGCTGGTGGAACCTTAGAACTCAGGAGAAATGGAGCCCAAGGTGCCATGGGTGGCGGACAGAAAAGGGGTGAGAGGCTGACTAGATGCAAGAGCAGCGGAAGGGATCCAAATTGTCCTGTACGGGATGCAAAGGTCCATCCTGGCGCCCTGATAAGAGCTCAGCAGGATGCCTGCAGGGTCTCCAAGGCCGGCTTTGCCATCTTCTTGGAAAATGGAGCCTAGTGGGGCTTGGCCCCTTGACTTTGGCGGAAGGCGAAATGGGCCCTCACTGTGAATCTGGAGAAAGGGAGAGAAGGGCAGCCCCAGCTCCACTCCACACCCCCTTCCTGCCTATAAATAACCCAAAGTGTCACTTCAAAGAGGACAAGGAGCGCGGGAGAGGGGCTCCCGGGGCGGGAGGACTAGGATAGCGGGCCTGCACACCACGCCCCCCACCCGGGGCGAGTTTGCATAAATAAACAAATCCAAGCAGGAGGTGGAGGGGGAGTGGAGAGGAGGAGGAGGGAGGGGGCGGGAGAGATTAGTTTGGGAAGTAGCACGGATTGCTCATCCGATCCGTGCAGCCGCAGAGAGTGTGTCAAGTTACAGAGGAGCCGGAATCTGTCCCAGCGCTCCTCGGCAGCGGCCACGACCCACCTCTGCCCATGGGGCCCTCCTTGTGCGCCCCTGCACCCGGGGACTGAAACTGGCTCTCCCTGGAGAGGCAAGACATCCAGAAGGACCGACAGCGCGGCACCAGCTGGAGGACTCTGCAGACTCTTGAAGGGAAAGACAGGCGGGGGGCCGGCCAGATTGCCCTCACTTTCCTGGACTTGGAGCGTTCTTCCAAATAACTTTTTTTCCTCACTTTGGTGTACCCCGATTACCGCTGGTTGTGATTTTCGGCTTTCCGCCTCCTACTGCTAATTTTTCCGTCTTCTTTGCCGGAAGCAAAGGAAAGGGACGTTTTCCAGCAACACAAGCCCTTTCCCCCTGCCCCACAGTTTGGATCGCGCCTTTCGGCAGCGGCTCTTACTTTTATTTATTCTATTTATTTATTTATTGGTTCTCAAGACGCGAAGGGATGGTAGCGGAGCGAGCCCGCAAAGCGGCCACCGCGGCTGCCCGCGGCCCGGGAGAGCTGGGCGCGCCCGGGACAGTGGTGCTGGCGGCGGCGCGAGCTGAGCGCTGCGCGCGGCTGCCCAGCCCAGGGTCGTGCGGGTTGCTGGCGCTGACCCTCTGCTCGCTGGCCCTCAGCCTGCTCGCCCACTTTCGGACCGCGGAGCTGCAGGCCCGGGTGCTGCGCTTGGAAGCAGAGCGCGGGGAGCAGCAAATGGAGACGGCTATTTTGGGACGAGTCAACCAACTGCTGGACGAGGTCTGTGCTCTTTGTTGCTGGCTTTTATCCCTCCCCGCGGCGCCCCCCTGCGCAGGCTCCAAACTGTCCACCAGCCAGTGCCGGTGGGTGCTCACCCTCCGCGCCGCCGGGTGCGCCCTGGGCTAGCGCGACTTGTCCGCGGGAGGGGTGGGGGCACACGGCGACGCCATCTGGCCAGGGACCCGGAGAACCTGGTCGGCGTGGGCTCGATCCCCGCTCCGCTCTCAGCAGGCGCCCCCAGTGTCTGGCCCTGGGCGCGCCAGGCAGGTGGAAAAAGGCCGGGCGCACGAAGGCGGGCCAGCTCCACTTGATCCTCCCGGACCCACGGGGTGGTGTGCGAGGCCCCAACGCCCACGCGGAGGGTCGCATGCCAGGCGTGGCAGCCGGCCTAGGCTGCTGAGCCCCCGTGGTCTTCCCTCCACCCTACCAGGTTAGGTGCTGCCTATTTTATTGCCACAGTGGGAAGAGGGAGTGAGGAACTGAGTCATCCAGGGGTCTGCGGGGCCGAGGGGACAGTACTCACCGGGTGGAGGGTGGAGGGAGTTTGTGATCGTCCTTGCTCATTGGTCCGGCCGCTTGGGCCCTAGTGTGGGTCTCCTGGCTCTGCTGTGTTTGTGCATGAACTAGCCCATATCCTCTTGTTTCTAAGCTGAGTTTCTTATGCAGGGCCTTTGGAATGGTCCCCAGCTTTTTTTCTACTGGGTAAATGATACTGAGCTTTCTCCCATTCCCCAAATTTCCCTGATCCAAGTAAACCCAAAGCTGATAGCGTCACTCAGCCATGGTACTCTTGGGAGTGCATGAAGAGATGGTGTCTCCCCAGAAGGAGGGACAGGCCTTCACCTTGAGCTTCCAGAGGAAAGTTTGGGCCTTGCTAGAATCTGGACATCACAGAGGATCCAGAGCCCTGCGGGAGGGAAGGACAGGCAGGTGAGGGCTGCAGTAGTCTGGAAAGTGGTCCTGGGACAGGGTGGCGGTGGCAGGTTTCCATGGGGAGAAGGGGGAGGAGGTCTGGTCCCTAGTAGGAGGTGGTGTGGAACCCTGGAGAAAGGCAGGGTGGTGGCATCTCGCCTCTCTGGGTTTTTATTCCTGCTCTCCTACTTTGGAAGCTGTGAAACCTGAGACAAATTCGATGACCTCTCTGAGCTTTTGGAATAGTGATGATGATGGCAAACCTCAGAGCCCTGCTCTAACAGTGGTCAATGCTGTGGCCATTTAATTCCCTACAACCTGATTTCTTTGGGGGTTCCTTTGCCAGAGTTCTCCAGGCTGGTCAGGTAGGAGGAGAGCCCTGAACTTCACTGGGCCAGAGCAGAAGGGCAGCCACAGGGCAGTGACTGGTGCTAGTCATGCCACCAGGACTGCTGCTGTCAGCTCATTCCCACGCCCTCCAGGCCCCAGGGAATCCAGAGGACTCAGTCAGGCCGCCCACGGTCCCCTGCCCCCAGGCGGAGCAGCAGGAGCCGGTGGCCTTCACTGGTTGGTGAGTGTGCGAGAGGAGGGTGGAGCCAGTCGGTGCAGCCTCCAGGTATCCTGGGCCCGGCTGCCAGCCGCAGCATCTGGCCCTGGAACTATCTCACTTTTCCTCTCCGCCCTCTCCCTTCCCTGTCCCTCCGCTGGTCACGGGAGCCCCAGCCCTTGGCAGCTCCTGCTTTCTCTGCTGAAGATGTAGCCCCACCAAGTCGCATGCTGTCCTCTCGGGGGTCTTGGGACTAACCACCTGCCATGCCCACTCTTCCTCCCCGAGCACCCGCCCACCACCTCCAGATCTCATCTGCAGAGCTGAGAGTCACCCAGAGATCATCTAAAGTGACCCCTGCTTTCCTGATGGAAAAACTGAGACCCAGAGAAGGGCAGTAGGTGGCTCAGGGTCACTCAGTGAGATCTGGGACTCGAGCCTCCCGACCCGGTGCCAAGGGTTCTTTGGTGTCCTGGCAGCTTCCTGAGAGCCAGCTGGGGGTCGGGCGCTGGGGGAGACACCCTCTGCCTCTTAAAGTCAGTGGTAAACGAGACCCAAAGAGAAAGCGGGCGGTGAGCTCGTCATGTAGAAAATAATGACAGAGGGGGACTGGGCACTGTGTTCCATGCAACGCCATCTGATGCTGGTAGCGTTATGGTGGGCTTCCGGGGGAGTGATTTGAAGATCTGAAGGGTGAAGAGAAGTTTGCCCGGGGAAGAGGGCGAGTGTGTGGGCTTGCGCTAAGGGGCCAAGCGGCCCGCTTCCGGAGGCTGGAGCTAGAGAGCAGGGTTTTCCTCGGGACAGTGAAGAAACTCCAAGCCCCCATGGGCTGGGAGGGCAGGAGAGAGACAGGTGCCTGGGTGGAGAGGACCCTGGGGCAGAGCTGCGTAAGGACAGCGGGGGCCACTGCTGGGCTTCTGTCCCTGGAATGAGAGCAGAGGGGTCAAGCCAACGGGGTGCTACCGCAGGCAGAGGGGACCGTGACCTGGAGTGGAGTGGAAACAGGGTCCCAGGGAGTGCCTGGGCGGGGTGGCTGCCGTGGTGGGACCTGGTTCTGTAAGAGAAGGTGCTGGAAGCCAAGTCCTGTGGGTGAAGGCCTGGCCTGTGGGGAGGGTGGCTAAGTTCTAGGGCTTCTGAAGGGCCACACGAGGGTCACGGGGTCCCATACAGTAACCACTAGTCACATTAAAATTAAAGAAAAGTCCGATTTTCATTTCCAGTCACACCAGCTCCCCTCTGAGGGTCAGAAGCTGCAGCAGCGCAGCAGGGTCACGGCGCCTGCGCACGCGGGTGAGCTCAAGGACCAAGAACAGGTTCTAGTCTGGCCCTGGTCCTAGCCGAGCCAGGCCACCCCAACTGACCCTTTAGGTTTCTCTTGTGTAAAAAGCAGGCCCTGCCCGCTCCGGGGATTACTGAAAGGACCTCAGGGGATGGCAGCTGGGAGCCCACGCGGGAAAGTGCCCCCAGCAAGAGCTAGCAGGAGGAAATGCGTGCACCTGGGTACGGCCCAGGTCTGGGGCAGGTGGCCTCAGGGACACTGCCCTGAGGTCATGGCCACTCACTGAAGGAGGGTAGAGGGCCTCAGGAGGGACACCCTGGTGAGGCCCGGCCTTCGCAGTGGCCTGGAGGCTGGGGCTGCACTCTCTGCCAGGCAGGGGGAAGGGGAGCTGGAGGCCTGGCCAATCTGGGGGGCCCCCGTAGGAGAGGGGCCGAGGCAGAAGTGAGGGGCTCAGCACTGAGGCTGTGGGTCAGAGCCAGGCGAGGAGGACTGGGGAGCTGGAAGTGTGGATTCCAGACGGGGCCCCAACTCTCCCGCCAGCCCTCTCTCCTGGTCGGGAGCCTTAACGAGCCCTCCAGCTGCCTGTTATTTGATTTGCTTGCTGTGAAGAAAGAAAGTGGAATGTCCCAAATGGAGAAAATCAGTTGACACCTAGGACTGGGCAGTGGGTGGGCAGCGAGAGGAGGAGGGACTTGAAACCAGCCAGATCCGTGTGGAAGGGCCTGGGGGCGTGGGGGACAGTCTGGGCAGTCATCTCCCAGGTCAGTTTTAAGGGCTATCGGGCAGGATTTCCATCCCTAATAACAACAGTGGCACTAAGATGCCCTGGTGTCCCAGGGCGGGCCGTTCAGGGCCGATGCGAGGCTGTTACCAGGACGGCTCTTTCCACCCTCACAGCTTCCAGAAGGATGGCTGCTCTCCTTAGCCACTCTATGGTTAAGAAGACCCACATCACCGCCACCACTCTGTTGGTGAGTCCTTCCTCCAGGCGTTGAGGATCCCCTGGGAGAAAAAAGTGGCCAGAACTTCCAGGCTAAAATGTTGAGGACCGGGGGCCCTAAAAATAACCACGGTGATRGGAATGTCGTAGAGTCACAGCAAGGGCACAGGGGCCTCTCTCGGGTCCTTTTCCAAAGAAGAATTTAGGAGAGCAGTCAGTAGCTTGCMGGGCTCTGGATGAGGTTCCCTGGGATTGAAGTGGTGGGATGAAGATGGGCACAGGGTGGCTTGSGCAGTGTCTTTGGTGGGAGAACCACCACTGGCTGGACCTCAGGAAGTGGACAGACCCTAGGTCCAGGCACCCTCAAGTGCAGCCCAGCACACCACAGTGGCAGTCCCCCGTTGGGTCCTCCTTCACTCTATGGCTGGGAAAGAAAAGATCCAAAGGATGCATGGGCCGGCTTCAGAGGAACCGGGAGTCAGAGCCAGCCGGCAGTGGACCGTGAGCCTTTCTCCTTTCCACTTAACTCAGGGACCAACACATGGCAAGTGTACCCTGCTCCCCATTCCAGGGCCCTCAGCAGACATTGCTAATCARTTGCAGCACACTCTCCCCGCCAGGCTCACCAGCAGCCCCAGAATCCTGCTGGACCCCATGCTCCCAGAAGCCACTTCTAACTAGGGGGCAAGTTGGTGTTCAGCTCTTGATKATTCTAAGTATCTTTGTTTTTCCAAATACAAAGCACACTTGCGATGGGTAAAGTCGTGGAGAATCCTTACAGCCTTATGGCTTCTCCAGAGACCTTAAAAAAAAATAGCAGGTAAYTCCAAACCAGACGGAGGACCTCATTATGTAGCTGGAGGTGGGGACAAAAGCAAGGTTCCATCTATTACAATCGGATCACTCCCAGGAAGGTGTCTTTCCCCTTATTCTGAATCATCCTAGATTCGACCCAAGGCCTCCCTGGAAAAAGCCTTCTCAAAGCACCCCAACCCAGCCCAGCTCTCTCCCTGCTCCCACTTCCTGTGGCTCTTCCTGGCTGACATTTAACTCCCAGAAGGAGCTCAGTGCTCTAGGCTTCCCTGCCCAGACCCATGGCAGACATTACTAATCGCTGCACGCACTGTCTCACTGAACCTAAATGGGCTTCAGGATCCTTCCCACACCAGGCGCCAGGCTGCCACCCTGGGCCCACTGCAGTCAACGAGCAAGGTAAAGTCTGCTGCCACCCACGGCTCAGCCCCAGCCCCACTGTGCCTTTAATGTCTCATCTCTCCATGTGGTCGTATGCAATCCGATGACAGAGAGAGGGACTCAATAAG